AACATTGAGTTAAAATAACAAACATCTATTAACTCACAGTCTTTGTGGGTCAGGAATTTGAGAGTGGCTTGGCTGGTGGTTCTGTCTCAGGGTCTCTCATGAAGCTGCAGTCAGGATGTCAGCTGGGGTTGCAGTCATCTAAAGGCTTGACTGGTGCTGGAGGAGCCATTTCCAGAGTGACTCACATACATAGCTGTGGACAGGAGGTCTCAGCTCCTCACCATGGGGACATGTCCATAGAATCACTTGAGTATTCTCACTACAAGGCAGATGACTTCCTTTAGAGCAAGTGATCCAAGGAGATAGTGCAAGGAGGAAGCTACAATGCCCTTTATCATCTAGTCTTGGAAGTCACACACTGTCCTTGCTGCCTTATTCTTTTTGTTAGAAGCCAGTCACTAGATACAGCTTATACCTAAGGCGAGTGAAGTTAATCTCCATCTCTTGAAGCAAAGAGTCCCAAGAACTGGTGAACGTATTTTCAAACCACCACACCAGGTGTGCTCTTTGCCTCGGGTCTGCCTGAGAATTTGGTCATCCTCTCTAGACTTTCTCTGGGCATCTACATTTACTTCTGCAGCTTCATGTGGCTCAAAACGAAACTTGATTCTTTCTTCCAGAAGACTCCCCCCACCTTTCACCTAAGTTTCCAAGCCCCATGGAAAGTCACAGGATGTTGAGAAAGAAAAGGGAACTTGAACGGATCCCAGCATTACAGGATCTGGATATAGTCATCTGCCTCCTTTGTTCCTGCCACAGCACTAAAATTTGACATCTCTGATTCTTCTCAAGCAAGGATTGCTGCAATTTTTCTAGCAGCTTCTCCACGGTGCTGTCACAAATCTAATATTGAAATCTTGCTCAGTCCCCACTGACTTTTACCACATGACCGTCTCCTCAAAGCCTAACTTTACTCGAGTCTCTGTGAATCTTTCACTGTACATTTACTCCACATGGCATTCGGTGTCCAGTTGTCAGCCAGTCCTCTTAATTATTTACCTCTCTGCCTTTAGACTTCACCTCTCATTTCCGTTGACTTCCTTACATTTCCTTGTTTACGTAGCGAACTCAATATTCCTAAAACCAGATTCAGCATTTCTCTTCAGAGTGTCTTCCCTCTTGCCCTTGCTCTTTATTCTCTGAGTCACCAGCATAAAAAAATTAAAAAATAAAAAAATCACCATCTTGGGCTTCTCCATCGCCTACATTCTCTACATTTGTGATGGGATTCTTGCCCCTGTATTTTGGCAAAAACAGCTTACCTGCCATGTAGTCTGAAATGATTCCCAGCCATTATCAGGGACAGCAAAAAGCCCCAATTCAGTGGTTCTCAGTTCAGGTTCAGTTGCTGGCTCCATTCTGAACTTGAGATTCCAGTCTCCCATCTGTTCCCAGTTCCTGTCCTGGTTTCTTAACCTTTGCTGCCAGATCTCCCTAATGCCTAGATCAGCACATCTCAGACTTTAATGTGTGCACATAAATTCCCTGGGGCTTTTGTTAAAATGCAAATTATCAGGAGGTCTGGGAGAGTGCCTGAGATTCTGCATTTCTAACAAGCTCTCAGGTCACATCCATGCTGCTGGGCTGCTGGCTCAAGGACCACATTTTGGGTAGCAAGGGCCCATAGCAACCATCTCCTAAATGTGCTTCCTTGCTTTCCCTCTCCCTCTGCAGAAGAGCAAGAGTAAGTACTGTCGTGTTGTCATGATCTCTGGATTGCATGCTGCCTGCATTACTGGTCCCCAGCATAGCAGAATGCTGGGATCTGCTGGGGACCTCATGAAAACCACTGATTCTTGGGTTCTGTCTTTGGAGATTTCAATTCAGTAAGTCTGGGTGAGAGTCTCAGAATCTGTATTTTTAAGAAGTATCCCAGGCAACCTTGATGATTTTTTAAGAACCAGTGTCTTACAGGCTAAAGTCCGAGCTGAAAACTTAATTGCAAAGTCTTCCCCAGCAGATCCAATCTCCTTTATTTTTCATTTTTTACTCCTCTTCAGACCTTTTTGTTCCAGGCAGACTGAACCTCAAACAGGCCCAGAGCATCCCCTTCTCTTTTCTCTGGTCCCACCTACAAATTCTCCCCACTCTATAATTAATTTATCTGGTCTGCATTTACGCATTGTTGCTTTACCAAGAATGCCAGCTACTGGAACTCACAGTACCATGCATACACCTGGTGGGAAGAGACTTTTTCTCCACTTTCTTTGGTCCCATTGAATCCATCCATCCTCCCAAATTTTGCCAAGTCACTTCCCCCTTCATATTAAAGTCCCCAGAAAATCCACTTTTCTAGAAGAATGGAAAATGTGACCCTATTGACTGAAACAGAAGTAGAAAGGACACTGCTGCCCCAACACATGAGAAAGGATGCTGAGTCACACTCCAATTCTATTCAGAGACTGGAGTCTCTGAGGACAGGAATTTTGTATTATGTTTGTTCTACACCATTTTCATAAGTCAAAGGCATCCCATGCTCACCACTAAATAAAAAGCTAAGCAAATGTCTGAGTATGTTTGGTGTTCTGCCAGAAGGTGACACATAATGGTAGGAATTGAGTCATTATAGCTAATTAATTGAAATGACATCAAAATTCTCTAATTAGCTTTTTAAAACATCTTTGATCCCAGAAAATAGTAGGTGTCAAACCTCAATATACCTTCACTCCTAAAATGCTATTAGAACATTGTGTGGTGCTGTGGAACACATAATGCTAACACCAGCTGTGAGAAATCAGTATCTATCAGAATCCGCTTAACTTACATGGGAAGGAATGCTAACCACCCAGTTGGATTTAAGAAGTGAGGCTGACTCAGCACACAGGGGTGTCTAAAGAAATGAAGGGGAACAAGATCCAGAAGTCCACTTTGTGAATCAAAAATATGCCCACTAGACCAAACTTCTTAGCAGGAATTCAAGATCCATCACAATGTCACCCAAACCTGCCCCTAGCTGCATTTCACATGGCTCTTTCTCCACCCCCTCTCTTTCAATCTGGATGACATTTCTGGACTTGTAGCTGTCCCCCTTCTCAACATTGTGCTCTTTCTTTTATATCTCTATCCTAGGCACATACTATTTTCTCTGTTCAAAAGGCCCTGCCAAACACTTACTCAACCTTTAAGATCACATATCATCTTTTCTGGAGAAAAGATAGTTGCTTCATTCTAGAGAGGAGATGGGGTTTAAAGAGACACAAGCATACGTATCTTTACGTTATTTTGCTCAGCCTCTTGCACAGTGCCTGGCAACTGGTAGATGTTCTATAAATTTCTTTCAAATGAATACAGGAGTTGTTGATTCACTCATATGAATGGAACCCCTTGCCTGTTGATCTGAGGTCAATCACTCTTCTGACCTTACTAGGCTTTTCCAAAGTCTTTCCCCCTCAATCCCAAAATAATAATAATAATAATAGCAGCAGCTAATATTAATTGAGCACTTACTATGTGCCAAATACTATGCAGTCTTAACATGGATCATTTTAATTAATTTCACAAATTATCCCAACTTTACAGATGAGAAACCTGAAGCTGAAGATAGTAACTTTCCAAGGTAATAAATGAGGGAGCCAGGATTGAAGCACAGAGCCCACATACTGCCTCATTAAGCTATACAACTAGCAATGAATGAGCACTACTAGGCTCATGGTTATTTACCTGTTACTGGTGACACCGATCTCCACTGAAAAGCTCTTCCACCTCCAGGCATGCTGCATCAGTCTCCTTACTATTGGCTGAGAGGAGCATGGAGCCTTTCACATGGATGGAAGGAGCATGGCAGCCACCTAAGTGTTGTAACCTGCCACTGGAAGTGTCCATGACTACACACTTGGAGGCGTTCTTGGTCGGTCCTGGCATGGTGGTAGACCCAAGTTTATTTATTCCTTATGGGTCCTGAAAAACGAGACCTTCCGTAGCAATGCCTGTTACTAACTTGCTTCCTGTCATATACCTGGAAGAGCTGGCCCCACATAAGTCTTGAAGATACACCCTTATATAGTATTTATAAATTGTTGGCTAAAGGTCTAAGCCTGATTCTAATAGTATTTCCTCAGTGAAGCCTTTCCTAGCAGTCCTTCGACTATAACTTATTTCTTTCTACTGTCTAATTTCTTCGTATTCTATTTGTAACTCTTTTATAGTTGATTTCCCACTCAAGGCTTAAGAAGAAATTTACTATAAAACATGGCAAACATTCAATTAAAAATTGCAAATAGCTGCATCAAAATGCCAATTTATGTAATTTTTAGATCAGATAAGAAGAGACCCATTTTTCTAGAAAAGACCATTGATCTTTAAGAGTTAAGAATGCAGCTGGCTCCCGATTTAATTTCTCACTAGTAAAGGGAACAGGAATGTCTAGGCAAGCCTACAGGAAAGAGCACGTGTGCGTTGTGCTTCTGGTTTTTCCAGATGTCAGTTGCTGAAGGTTTAAGGTGTGAGTCCTGTGCATGTGTGTTCCCAGTAGCTGTCCTTGTTCAAAGACATAGTGGAAAGACTGAGTGGGACAGCTCACACACGGGCACCCTGTGCATCTGTGTGCATTTAATTCAGAGACAGACCTCATTTTATAGGAACTTTAACATGTCATTACAATGTATTAGAAATGATGAGAAAATGAGATTTGAGTCCCATCTGGATTCATGGGGATATTATCAGAAAGATTTCCGGTGTCTTTGCAGAGTGCTAGCAACATTTATTAAATACTTACCATAGGTGCTGTGTGCTTAAATGAGAAGCCAAAGATTTCTGTTAAACCCCGTAGGAACTGCGATCTGCTGGTTGATTCTCGTTTGGAGAAAACAGGCGACTGGGCAGTGATTGAAGTGTCCAGCAGGGGGCTGGCATTCTCTGTCTATAAGTAGCCCTGGTTCCTCTTCAGAGCCTCAGCTTAGCAGAACCTCCGTCTGCTGATGAAGCCAGTGACGTGCAAAGCGTCCTGCCTATAGGATTTGAGGATTTCTCAGTGCAGTTTTTTTCTACCCACTTTAAACCTTCAGGTTCTAAATATCAGGAAAGACAGGAAATTCTGTGTGAAAATAGCAGGCCAAAAGTTCTTAGTAAACTGCAGCCAGGGAAACTCAGACTAGGGTGAAGGTAGAAAGAGCTGATGCAGAGTGGGTTTAATTCTAAGCCTTTTGGGGGCTGAGTTTTTATTGTTGTTAATTTATGGAATTTATAGATGTATTGCATTTGTCATGTGAAGGCCAGGGCAGTACCAGAGTCAAAATAGTGACAGTTTTAAATGCCATAGTGTATATGTACTCAGAGTACTTTTATTGAAGAAGATAAGGAGCCCAGCATAGATCTCATCCTCATCTTCACCCAGTTGCAACATCATAAGTTGAGAAACAGCATCTAAGGGCACTTTTTGGTGGGGAAAAAAATCTAGACATAGCTCTAAGTGATTGTTTCCTTCTGAACTTGGAAATGGACTATACCGTGTACTACAACATCTCCAATCACAGTGCGGATCTCCCCATGAATGATGACTGGTTCCAACCGGGGATCCTCTATGTCATCCCTGCAATTTATGGGGTTATCATTCTGATAGGCCTCATTGGCAACATCACTTTGATCAAGATCTTCTGTACGGTCAAGTCCATGAGAAACGTGCCGAACCTGTTCATCTCCAGTCTGGCTTTGGGAGACCTGCTCCTCCTGATAACATGTGCTCCCGTGGATGCCAGCAGGTACCTGGCCGACAGATGGCTGTTTGGCAGGATTGGCTGTAAACTGATCCCCTTTATACAGCTTACCTCGGTGGGGGTGTCTGTCTTCACGCTCACGGCGCTCTCGGCAGACAGGTAAGTACTGGCTGAAAGTTACATTCTCTCTGAGGGTGGTAGGTGCCTCGGTAAATGAACTGCCTTGTTGGGACAGACAGAGCTGTTTGCACAAAGGGAAATTTTAGTCAAACTTAGGTTCCCTTCCAGGCATGTTTTGCTCTGGTGATTACTTGCAGAGTTTGACATATCGGTTTAAGAAAGAAAAGTGAGTGAATGGCAAAGATGGAAGGAGACAAATAAAAAGAAAAATCTCTGAGCATAAGACCAAGGCGCATTTTCTGGAGATGAATCAATTTAACATTGCCTTTTCCTAACTTCTCCTTCCCTGCAAAATTAATTGATCTGTGAGAAAGACAGCACCCAATAGAGTTTAAACCATGGGCAAATGTTTCTTAGAAGCAATTGAAAAGCTTCTGAGAACAGAAAAGTCCCGCTGCATTTCTTCTCCGAAATATTCTTTCAGAAATAACCAAGAGGAGAAAATAAGCCTCACTTCTTTGAAATTCATTTGCCTCAAACAGTTTAACTTTTCTCACATGTGATTTTGTTTTGGCTCTCTGTGACTGAACAGTCGTGTGCTGGTTTTTCTAACTCTCTCTTAGATGAAATCAAGCATTATTTGGATTTTCCTTTTCTGGAGAAAGCTCTGTTCAAGGTTGACTTCTAATTTTAATATCTTTACTGATGTGTGTCCATATACGATGCTTTTGGGGATTTTGAGGGGAAAGGAAAAGGAGTCCAGTACGTGTTTTATTCTGGAAAATATACATATTTGTGAACTGCATTTCTTGTGTGAGCACATTGTAACAGTTTACATTTATTCAGTTCTTAAAAATTCATATTCATTCTTTGAATATTTATCACTTGTCTATCATGTAAAAACCACTTGCCTGGATTAATGTCAGGAAATATCTGTAGGTTGCTCATATGAATTACTGAACATATCTAATGTACTTCTGGGCTCTGGAGCTTGGACATGTTAATGAATAGACTTTTCAGACACAGCATAGACCATATGGCCAAATTAAGAAAAACTGGTGCAATGAACCAGAGACTATGAATTTTTATCTTAAAATCAACTGTGTGTGATGTGTTAAAGATACATAAGGATTTGAGAGTGTACTGGAAAAGGCATAGAAGCAGCTCTTGAAAGTTTATGCTCAGAAGAAAATGTCCCACATTTTAATACACGTGGTGCTGGATTCTCATTTTGTAGAGGAGCAACCAGTCCCCAGGTGATCTGGTTTTGTTGAGCAATGGACAAATAAAGATAGTGTTATCAGAATTTGTAGACATGTGTTTGTACTTAGCTGCCAAAGTACACTGCTCAGCACACATGATATTTTCAAAGACTGAAAAGTAATGGTCCAGAAATGAGGGTTGAGCATTGCAACAACTGGGCAGGCTTGTCCATTCCCTCCACTCACCTGCAGCTTGCTGTTACCCTGTACATTTGCCCATCAGGTATGAAATGACCACAGACAGTTTCATGGGTTGATTCAGGGCCGGCAAACTTTGGAGCTGGCAGAAGGTCTGTGGCTCGTTACCAATGGCCAAGGGCACTTCAGGATGAGGGTAATTTTCTGGATGGGAAGAAGAGATTTTGGTTTCCGGTTTGGTGAGTGCGGTGGTACAGATGGTGTTTACTGTCTTCTTGGGGAAGGAAACAGAGGAAAGCAAGGGCATGGAATGTAAACATGCAGCTGCAGGGAACTCTTCTCTGGAGTTTCATTGCAGACAGGTTCACCATCAGCAGAAAGGGAAAGCTCTTTCAAAAGCTGGCTTGTACCCTTTGGCAGCTCCAGTGTGTCCTCGGTAAGTTTATAGTTACTGTATGTCCTTCCCAAGTTCAGAAATTACCAGAAGCTAAGTTTCTGTGTTTTGCTAAGGCTTAAAAGAGCTGATGGATGACTTGAATTACAGATACTACATCTAACCAATTTCAACAATAGGTATTGAGATAAATAATGTAAGACTGTACTCTTATATTTATCCAATTTTTTAAAAAGCTATGAGATTCTTATAACAACCTCATGAGGTTGCCAGAACCAATTTACATTCTCTATATTCTTTTCTCAACAGAAAAATATAGATGTGATCTATATACACAGTAAACTGAACAAGAAACGTCTCAATATATTTTGACATACACCTATGTAACTGCATGACCACCACCCAGATGGAGATAAAGAACAGTCCCAGCACTCCCAGCATTTCTATTATGCCCTTTCCTAGTTATACTCCAATACAGAGGCAATCACTATTCTGATTTTAGTCACCATAAATTATTTCTGCCAGTTCTTTAACTTCATATAAATGGAATCATATAGTAAGTACTCCTTTATGTTTGTCTTCTTATGCTTATCATTGTTTCTGTGATATTTATCCATGTTGGTGCACTTAACAGTGATTCGTTATTACAGTATTCTATTGTATGCACATACCTCGGTTTATTTATCCATTCTAATACTGATGGACATTGGGTTGTTTCCAGTTTGGGTTTGATAATGACCTGCTCTGAACATTCTTATTCATGCCTTTTGGGGAACATAAGTGTTCATTTCTCTTGCATATATGTCTGGGAGTGAAATTGCTAGGTCACAGTGGGCATGTATTTAGTAAATATTGTCAAACAATTTTCCAAAGTGGTGGTCTGTATCTGATAGATTAGTAAAAGGGTGAACCAGAAGACCCTCCAAACTGGATGATCATCAGAATCACAGGGAAGCTTTAAAAACATACAGATTCCTAGCCCCATCCTCATCCCAACCTCCCTTCTGTGGTCTTCCCCTTCCCCAGGTAAACCTGAGTCTGTCAATATGAAAAAAATAACATTTTTCTAGAAAAGCTTATAACCCTGTCACTGTGTCAAAGGAAGTCACAGACAACAGAATTCTGGAGATTCACATGACTGACCAATTGCAGGTTTGCATTCAAGCCCCTTCAATACTGGTTTCTGCCCACCCTTTCCTCCCATGCTTTCTGCCCTTACACACACACTGACATCCTAATACACGGTGGTTACAATGACCCGTTCATTCCTGGCTCTGTATCCTTGCTTATGCTGTGTCCCACCCACTCTCCAGAATGCTTTTTCCTCATCCCACGTGGGATATGGGCTTGGAATGGGTATCCATAGGCCTGCATTTTAGACATTTTTCTGCCATTACTACCCATATGAGTGAGTTGGACCAAGTCACTTAACTCTCTGAGCTTAGTTTAATCATCTATAAAATGGAATTGAGGTAGATTATTTCTGTGGTTTCTCCAAGTCCTAAAATCTTGTGATTTTCACCTTTACATCTTGCCTGTCATTCAAAATCTGGTTCAAGCCTCTTCCTTAAAGCTGTAAGTTGGGCCATTCTAGCCCAAACTTCCTGACCCTCTTCGAAACATGAGACTTATTATCTGAGATATGAATTATCTTGTGACATCTTTTATCTTGCTGTTTTGAAGTAGTTCACTTGTTCATCTTTTTTTTTTTTTTTTTAGCCTCTCATATATTCATTGCTTTAAATTTTTAGGTAGATTATTAAGAATGTGGAGAGCACAGATTTCTTGTATATTCCTACATCTTTCACAAAGCCCCACAAGTTTCCTTGTGCCAAGTGGGTGACCAATAAATCTTGATAAATTAAAATTGTTTAATTACTGCATACTACTCCCCTCATTATTATTATTTTTCCCCAGTTTTGGGATTCATCCGAAAGCATACTCTTAAATATGCATCAGGTAGTCACCTGCTTCTTAGCTGTTTCCTCTTTACAAAACTCTTATTACCCAGGTAAATGAAAGAAAAGCTATTCTTTGTGAGTCCATAAATAGATCCAAGGGATAAACAGATGAATGCCTAGATGAATAGATGGAAAGATTGGTGGATGGATGGGTAGATGGCTGGATGGCTAGATGAGTGGGTGGGTGGGTTGGGTGGATGGATGGATGGATGAATGAGTGGATGAGTAGATAGGTGGACAGATGGATGGATAGATGAGTGAACGGTTGGATAGATGGATATATTTTTTACATAGATCCTTCCTACTGGATGTCCATCTCTGTTAGGTGCCTCAGTATTAAGTAAATGGAATTTAAGATCTAAATTGGACCCTCAACAGGAAAAGGGTCAGGATAGTTTGTTCTATAGGGTCCATGTCTTCTACAACACCCAGGCCCATCTACATCTAGTAAGAGGACAATAACTACCGCTTGGGTGATGTTTGAGAGTGACAAAATGATAAAGTCCAGCAGCTAGAAGTAAAAGTCATCTGAAAGTTTAAACCTTTGTTTGACACAGAGACTAAAGATGTGATGGAATTTAACTTTGTCATAACAAATTCAGAGTAGAGTCACACTAGAATCCTGCTCGCCTCATTCCGAGTCCCAGTTCCTTCAGGGGAACTTTTCTTCAGAAACCATCAAAATACAGCCTGATTCCATTTCTGTTCTCTAGACAGTGGGAACTACTGGCTCCAAATGCTGCTGCTCTGAAGGAAGATACCCTGAGTGACTCCAGTGTGGTCCACTTCTAAGGAGGTCATCCCAGTGATTCCAAAGGCTCCTATACTGTTTTAGAGGCCCAGCTTCACTGATTCCCTTCTCTTTCTCAAAAGAGAACACTTAATTTAATTTCTTGTAAAGCATCCTTTCAGAAATTCTTTACAAGAAAGTGCCTCTGTTGGAGCAGTTTACTTGAGCTACCAGTTTATAACTTCTCTATAGTTTGATTTTTCTGAAGCATATGCTGCCTCTCTGGAAGGAAACTCAACTCATGTCTCCCAGCATCAACAGAACTGCCACTGCTGCTAGCAGCCTCTGGGACTGGTCAGAGGGCAAGCAAGCGCTGTGCAAGTGGGGTTTCCCAGCAAGGCTCTTTCAACTGGAGCGCTGCAGGAGAGGAGACGGGCGAGACGAGAACTTTGACCTTGTCTCTAGCATATTATCTTTTTTATTTTTTTTTTTTATTTTGTCAATATACACTGTATATGATTATTATGGCCCGTCACCGACACCTCCCTC